AGAGTAAAGAATGCAGGGTTGTTAGTTCAAAAAACTCAATTTCTGTGCCAAAAAACAGTATGTGCCGAGTGTGCCGCTTCCATTCACTGCCACTCTTTCTTTTGGAATCGTTGGTTATTTTGAGTCTGTTACGTTAAACCAATTGTCTCCTCCGTGTTAGCGTTTAGATCGGGTATGGGCAACCCCTTACCTTTTCTGAGGCCCTCCTCTCTCACACCATCCTATCCTTCCTTCCTTCCTTCCTTCCTTCCTTCCTTCCTTCCTTCTTCCTTCCTCCTTCCCTCCCTCCCTTCCTTCCTCCCTCTTTCTCTCCTTCCATCCTCCTTCCTTTCCCCCTTTCTACTTCCTTCTTTCTTTCTTGTCTTTCCTTCTTTCTTCTCTCTTCCTCCCTCCCTCCCTCTTTTTTCTTCTCTTCCTTTTCCCTCCCCTTTTGCCCTTCTTTCCTTCTCTCTTCGCTTCCTCCTTCCCTTCCACCCATTTGTTCTTCCCCACCTTTGTCTTTCATTCCCTCTCTCCTTCCCTTCCATCCTTTCGTCCTTTCCTCCTTCCCTGCGTTTTGTCTTTCCTTCCTCCTTACCTCCCTCCATTCCCTCCTTCTTTCTCCTTCTTTTCTATTTTTTTTGTCCTTCCTTCTTTGTCTCTTTCCTTCCCTCTTTCTCCTTCCTTCCTTCCTTTTTTTTCTCTTCCTTTTCCTTTATCTTTCTTCTTCTCACTTCCCTCCTTTCTTGCCTTCCTTCATTCTTTCCTCCTTTCCTCTTCCTTTCCTTCCTTCCTTCCTATCCTTCTTCCTTCCTTCTTCCTTTCCTTCCTTCCTTCCTCCTCTTTCCTCCTCCTTTCTCCCTCTTCTCCCTCCTCCTCTCCCTTTCTTCTTTCCTTCTCTCTTTCTTCTTCCCTTCCTTCCTTTCCTCCTTCTCTTCCTTCTTCTCCTTTCCTTTCTCCTTCCTTCCACCCTTTCATCCTTCCTTCCTTCTTCCTTCCTTCTTCCTTCCTTCCCTTCCTTCCTTCCTTCCCTTCCCTTTCCTTTTCTTCCCTTTTTCCTTTCTTTCTTCCTCCTTTCCTCCTTTCTCTTCCTTCCTTCCTTCCTTCCTTTCCTTCCTTCCTTTCCTTCCTTCCCTCCCTCCCTCTTTCTCCCTCCCTCCCTCCCTTCCCTTTCTTCTCTTCCTTCTCTCTTCTTCCCTTCCTTCCTTCCATCTTCTCTTCCTTTCCTTTCCTTCCCTCTTCCTTCCTCCTTTCCCTTCCTTCCACCCTTTCATCCTTCCTTCCTTTTGTCTTTCCCTCTCTCTCTTTCTTTACTTCCTCCCTCCCTTCCTTCCATCCATCAATCAGGCAGCCATTCCTCCTAGCACAGAGTGCTAGCATGCGGCGTCCAAGTTAGAAAGTGTGCCTAGGCCTGGTTGCTCCTAACCATTGGCTTGTATTATGGGTCAGTTCAAGGTTCATTTGCAGTCAGGGTGGAACAAAAACATTTCAATTCATTTCAATTTGGTTTTTGTGGGGAATTATGGGTTTGCATAATTTGGGGTGCACGGTGGAGCAAAACACAGTTCACGTTGCAATACTCGAATGCAGTTCATGTTGCAAGTCTCTGTGTCAACGTTCCCAAATAATTACAGAAGCCATTTGCATAATTTGGGCTGTGATTGGGGTACACGGCGGAGCAAAACGCAGTTTGTGTTGCAATTCTCGAATGCAGTTCATGTTGCAATTCTTTGTGTCGACGTTCCCAAATAATTACGGGAGCCATTTGCATTATTTGGGCTTTGTTTGGGGTACACGGTGGAGCAAAACATGTTGCAATTCTCGAATGCAATTCATGTTGCAATTCTTTGAATTGACGTTCCCAAATAATTACGGAGCGAAATGCAGTTCGTGTTGCAATTCTCGAATGCAGTTCGCGTTGCAATTCTTTGAGTTGACGTTCCCAAATAATTACGGAGCGAAATGCAGTTCGTGTTGCAATTCTCGAATGCAGTTCGCGTTGCAATTCTTTGAGTTGACGTTCCCAAATAATTATGGAGCGAAATGCAGTTCATGTTGCAATTCTCGAATGCAGTTTGTGTTGCAATTCTCAAATGCAGTTCATGTTGCAATTCTTTGAGTTGACGTTCCCAAATAATTATGGAGCGAAATGCAGTTCGTGTTGCAATTCTCGAATGCAGTTCGTGTTGCAATTCTCGAATGCAGTTCATGTTGCAATTCTTTGAGTTGACGTTCCCAAATAATTACGGAGCGAAATGCAGTTCGTGTTGCAATTCTCGAATGCAGTTCATGTTGCAATTCTTTGAGTTGACGTTCCCAAATAATTACGGAGCGAAATGCAGTTCGTGTTGCAATTCTCGAATGCAGTTCATGTTGCAATTCTTTGAGTTGACGTTCCCAAATAATTACGGAGCGAAATGCAGTTCGTGTTGCAATTCTCGAATGCAGTTCGCGTTGCAGTTCTCTGTGTTGATGTTCCCAAATAATTACGAGAGCCATTTGCATCATTTGGGGGACTGCGCTTGAGGTGCACGGCGGAGTAAAACACAGTTCATATTGCAATTCTCAAATGCAGTTCATGTTGCAATTCTTTGTGTCGATATTCCCAAATAATTATGGGAGCCGTTGACAGAAAGGCAGACTCGATAAGGAATAAATACAAGGTGCGGAGCTAACGGGATGTGGCTTTGGATGGCGAATCGAGTGCCGTTTGTGCATTGAGAGGAGGAGAAAGGGCATTCCGCTTTCTCATTTTTGAACTTTTTGAAAAATATTTCCCGAGCGTCTTCTAAGGTGCATGGGATTTTTCTCCCCCATCTTTCCTGGCATACATTTTAGGCCTTTTCCTAAAACTTAGAGGTCATTTTCCTGGGTCTAAAAATGGTTGGAAGGGGCCACATTCCTTTATAGTAGGCATGCGCAAACTTGGGCCCTCCAGGTGTTTTGGACTGCAACTCCCATCATTCCTAACAGCCTCAGGCCCGTTCCTTAAGCGGCTGTGGGGCAAAAGGAAAGGGCCTGAGGCTGTTAGGAATGATGGGAGTTGCAGTCCAAAACCCCTGGAGGGCCCAAGTTGGCCCACACCTACCTTATAGGTTGCTTGGGGTCAAATAATACTTTTTTTCATATGGGACGTTGCAGCCTTTCAAAGCCATATTGCAATTTATTTGGATGGGAGACCGTTCCATTCGAAGCAAGGAAAAAAAATTACCTTCCCAGTTTGGACCATTTTGTCAACATCACCCAGCCTTATTCCTGCACTGGAAACCATTTGGACAGACTTTGAGACATTTACTTTGCCGCTTTTCGTATTTCTCTTTGATCTGATGTGATTTGGGATTACTATTATTGTTTCGATGATTCCAGGACGAGGAGGAGGAAGAAGAATTAAGGTGTTTCTTAACATAACAAAAAATAATAATATTTATTTTGAAAATTGTACCTATGTCTTTTTTTGGAGAGGAGAAGCCATGCGTGTATGTGTGTGTTGTATGCAGTGATTTTTTGTGTATCGAAAAAAAAGGAGAGTGCATTTTTGGGAAGGGATAATATAAGTATATAATATAAGTATGTTAGCTTGGATACCCGGCGTTGCCTGGGTTGTTGGAAAAATTCATTTTTTTAATTGTCCAAAATACATAAGGTTGTGGGTGAACTACAACTCTCATCATGCCAGGGTGGCCCTGAGATACTCCCATCAGTACTTGTTATGTTGAAGGCTTTCATGGCCGGAATCACTGGGTTGTGAGGATGCTTGCCATAGATGCAGGCGAAACGTCAGGAGAGAATGCCTCTAGACCATGGCCATATAGCCTGAAAAAACCTACAACAACCCCGTACTTGTTATGTTGGGCAAATTAGGTCTAGATTAGCATTTCTCAACCTGCGGGAGGGGGTCGCAAGAGGGGTGACAGAGGGGTCGCCAAAGACCATCCCTAAACTCTACCAGTGTTGACATTTGGGCATATTAAGTATTCATGCCAAGTTTGGTCCAGATCCAGCATTGTTTGAGTCCACAGTGCTCTCTGGATGTCGATGAACTACAAATCCCAAACTCTATGTCAATGCCCACCAAACTCTTCCAGTATTTTCTGTTGGTCATGGGGGCTCTGTGTGCCAAGGTTGGCCCAATTTCATTGTTGGTGGAGTTCAAAATGCTCTTTGATTGCAGGTGAACTATAAATCCCGGCAACTACAACTCCCAAATATCAAGGCCTATTTTCTCCAAACTCCACCAATGTTCACATTTGGGCATATGGAGTATTCGTGCCAACTTTGGTCCAGATCCATGATTGTTTTGAGTCCACAGTGCTCTCTGGATGTCGAACTACAACTCCCAAACTCAAGGTCAATGCCCATCA